TTTTTTTTTTTTTTTTTTTTTTTTTTTTAATGGATTTTGGATCTGAACCCATGAATTTTGCATCCCATTTCCACATATATCATGTTGGTTGGGTGGTGGTATGGAAATTGTGACAAGAGTAGTAATATAACGTTTTGTACTGCGTGGTGGTAATTTTCCGGTGTTCATTTTTCTTTTGCAGCATAAAAAATTGATGCTTAATTTTCTCATAAATGATGTGATAGCAATATCAAGTTATAACATATGCAGAAGCTTCAAGGGGGTGTTTGTATTTTTGAGTCGACTCGAATGAATTTTGTGTTTGATAATTATGCAGTTATGCTTATCCATGCTTGTACAGGGTGGCTTTTAAGTGTTGAGCGTTTCTTAACTTGTGTTCAGGGAAAATGAGGCCTATTTTCTGTGGAAATTTTGAATATGATGCCCGGCAGTCAGAGTTGGAGCGGCTTTTTAGACGATATGGGAAGGTTGACAAGGTGGATATGAAGTCTGGTAAGTTTTTTTGTTTCGTTTTTTTATTCTCTTTTTTGTATATTTTAAGGTGGATGACTCAATAGTGTTAGATATTTATGTTTATTTTTGTTGTTGGGGTTGGGGGGTTATCATGGAGCGGATATTTTATAGTTATTTTTTTTTCCCATTAGTTTTATACCAGATTGCGGCTTCATGTGGTTCAATCCACTGTTTGAAAGAAAACTGAGATTATTGTTACGTCCACATTGGGCTAAATTAATAATCATGTTAATGAATTCATTTATTAAATATAAATTTTATATTATCATATATGCTCCGGAGAAATTCAGGATGTGTTAGTGGGTCTAGGATGATATCTGTCCTGTTAACATGATGTGGCTATTTAAAATAACAAACTGGCCGATATATAATTGAAACTTTCAACTTGCGAACTGGAAAAGTACCTCTATGATTTGTCATACTGAACATTAAGTTCTAGATGAGTGAAAGAAATAAACATTCACAAGTTGCACATTCCGCAATTAGACCATTAAGACATCCAGCAGCATGGGAGCAGCACCAGAGAATTTATCCAACGTTTGACTTGCCAACTGTGGTTCAGCAGCCTCATAGCATCTTCCAAGATCGGTGATTCAATTTCAGGAGTTGGACCTTGGTGTACAGCTTCTTGTTGAGCATTTGTGGGGGACCAAGATATCTTTTAAGTAAAAATCATCTTTTTTGAAGCATCGACCCCCATACTCAACGTTTTCTTTGACGCAGGATTATCTTGGCATATCCATTTACTCCCAAGCTAATGGATGGGCTTTTCAGAAATCCATTCCCTGCCTGTGATGCACAACTTCTTCTTTTAATGAAGAATCGTTCAATTTGATCTGCAATGGCACACCTGTTCCACATATTCATCGGTCACATTTGCCTTTCAATTTTTGTGCCTTTTGCCCAGCCCACTTTTGGACATGTTTCGAGGTTGAAATATTGCCAACCTCACAGCAGAGGCAGCAGAATGGATGGAGAAGGCACTCACTTTCCATTGACCCTCTACACTTTTGGGTTCTTGTTCTTGACACCAATTTGTTTACTAATCAAGGTCTGTTACTAATTCTATTGGTCAAATTAGTTTATAAAAGTAAGGAGGTTTACCAAAATTTTAATTTTCGAGTAGTAAGTGTTGAGATTTTTGTGCATGGCAGAAGGGTCAGTTGTCACGCCGGACGTCTAGTGTTTGTTGGTTGGACTAATTGACTGAATTGTTTCTTCAGTTTTATGAATTTAATTTAATAAAAAATGAGGAAACTTTGCATGGTCTGTAGGATTTGCTTTTATCTATATGGAAGACGAGAGAGATGCTGAGGCTGCTATTCGTGCTCTTGATCGGGTAGAATTTGGTCGGAAGGGACGCAGACTCCGTGTGGAATGGACAAAGGTAACACATCATTAGTCATTTTTATTTATGAGAATGTTGTTTTTAATACATTATGTTTTCATCATCACTGCACATACTGTGTTGCAGCATGAACGGGGTGTTAGAAGGCCTGCTGGTTCAAGAAGATCTTCAGCTAATGGGAGGCCATCAAAGACCTTGTTTGTGATTAATTTTGATACATACCATACCAGAACAAGGGACTTGGAGAGGCACTTTGAACCATATGGTAAGATAGTCAGTGTGAGAATCAGAAGGAATTTTGCATTTGTTCAGTATGAATCAGAGGATGATGCTAGCAGAGCATTGGAAGCTACAAATATGAGGTAATTTAATGTATTTGGATATTTGTTTAAGACACATACAAGCATTCGTGTTAAGAGATTGCATGACTTTAGTAAAGAGATTTGGGTTTTTGGCTTTGTCTTTCTGTAGACCTGTGTCCTTTAGCCTTAGGCAGTTAGTTTTATGCCCAAATGATATGTTATCATGTTAATTTTAAGTTCAGTCAATTTTACCTTCCCAGTATATTTAACAATTGGCCTACCACTTCTATGATAACTTCTTTTTCATATGCTGATTTGCAGCAAGTTACTGGATCGAGTTATTTCAGTTGAATTTGCTGTCAAAGATGATGATGACAGGAGAGGTGGTGGTTATAGCCCTGAGAGAGGCCGTGATCGTCAACGTGATAGAAGCCGTGATGGAAGGCGATCACCTAGTCCTTATCGTAGAGAAAGGGGTAGTCCTGATTATGGCCGTGGGCCCAGCCCATATCAGAGAGAGAGGGGCAGCCCTGACTATGGTCGTGGCCGTGACCGTAGCCGTAGCAGAAGTCCCCTTCGGAGAGAGCGAGCTAGCCCTGCATATGGGCGTAGAAGCCTTAGTCCATATAGAAGAGAGAGGGAGGCTTCGGACCCTGTTCGTGACTCCAGCCGTAGTCCTTATCACAAAGAGCGTGGGAGAACTGACCATGGAATTTCTCCTTCCCACAGTCCTGAAGGAAGAGTGAGGAAAAGTCCTCAAAATGGTCGCAGTTCTAGCCGCAGTCCGCGTGATACTGGGAAGGCTAGCCCTGAAAACGGACATGGCTCCGGAAGCCCTGATGAGAAAGGGAATCCTAGCCCTTACAATGGTTATGGAGGGAGCCCAAATACCATGCCTGACGGCCCTGATCCCAGGGATAGTCCCAACTATGGTGGCCCGGAAAGTCCCATGCATGAAAGATACCGCAGGTTTGCAAACATTTATTACTGCATATAATTTTATTTAGTCCTATTTATTTTCTTCAGCCTTCTCCAGTTCTCTAGTATGACATCTTCATTGTTTTAACTGTGTTCATTTCTGATAATGCAGCCAGTCACCCCCAGCAGAAGAATGATTTTAGTCAATGATGAAAAGCAGGAAGGTCCAACAGATTGTAGTACTGGTCATGACGGGACTAAATTTAATTTCTGCAAATTATTTTAGTGTAGTAGTGATAAAGCTCTGAAACTTGTGTTGTTGTGACAACTTCCTAGTCCTTTATTTGTTTAGGTAGTTTCATGCTTCTTTGTCAGCTTAATATTGTAGAATCTGTTTACAGTCAAAATGGTACTATATCTTTGATTATTATCGGCGAACTTATAGATTTTGGTAATGTCGTTAAAATTCTTGTGTGCCATTGAAGCCCTTCTGCATGATTGACTTCCATTTTGTTGTTTGATGGTGGCAGTTGAATATTGGATTTGGGGACCGTTCCATTAGTGAAATGTTGCAAGTCATTATTAGATTTATTGTTCCTGGTATGATTCTAGAATGTGCCGGGGGTAACGTTTCAAATTTAATGCTATAAACAGCATAAAAGTGGATGATGCAGCATCTAAAGTTAAGTTCAGGAAAGGTCCACATTTTTCAGAGACCACGTTTTTATATTAGTTGAATCTGCTGCTCAGTTTGATGTTGGACAATCTCATTTATCCTCTATAATCCAGTTTCTCTGGGGAACGGGGTTAGAAATAAGTAGAACCGTTAATTGGAGTCCTTACATAAGGTTTAAAGTTAGGCTGATTTATTTATTTTTATTGAACAAGTTGGATCAAGATTTAGGAAAAACAATGTGGTTAAACAGATTAAGAGGTCATAAAAAAAAATCCTTAGGCTTAGTACTTTAGTTTATATAAGAATAATATTAATGTCACCATTATCATTAAGTTTGAAAGTATATATTTAATTCATGATTTATTTCAAAATTAAACCTGTTGGTTCATATAAAAACGTAGGTTTATTAGTCTACAAAGTGGTAGGTTTGATAGTACATGTAAATGATCTCTAACTCATAAGTATATTTTAAAGATGTGATTTTAATAAGGCCAGATTATGACTTAAAATAAGTCCATATTAAGTAATTAAATTATTTTTGTCTTTAGGAAATGGATCAAATTTTTGTGTTTTACAAAGCTGATATACTTTTTGGGTTTTAGCTGACGAAAAGTAGTGCATCAAACTATTACTGTGTTGGGGTCTTAACATCCTAACATACCAAGCGATAAGCCAGAGATATGCGTGTAGAAGGAAAGGAATTGAGGCAGGGATTTGTTTTTTGGGTGGCAGAGTGGCACATAGGGCGTTTCTTTTGGGAGAAGTGGTGGGTTAAAGTTACACAAGTAAATTTAATATTTCCAAAATCAAATTGAGCTGGCAGATTAGACCATGAAATGGTTGTGTTTAGCTTCATTAATATAATAATATTCGATCGATAAACCTTTACTTCTATCAAGTTTTATTAGTCAAAAATAAACTATCACTTTTAAATATCGATATTTCGACTACAAAAGTATACAGATGTAATTGAAATTAAAATATAAAATTGTTAGTTTTATGATGGGTCACAACTTTGAAATTACTTATAATTTTCTATATGAAATTGAATTGTTAAATACTTCTTCATCTCATGATAATTATACACAAGTAACTAGTAACTACTATGCGAATGTATTTTTTTTTTCGGCAAATGGAGAAAATATGATAATTCAAAGTAAACATTTTTTAATATTCTTGATCACTGTATGAGCTCCAAGGGTGTTTAGGAGGCTAGAGTGTTGTTGTTGGTGGTTTTTGCTCAGATGTGGGTTTAACACTGTCCTTGGTGGATGAAAGAGGTATTTCTTCAAGAAACACTTTGATATCCAAATTACATAACGTTGTTCCATGTTTTAATACAAAAATTAAGGTTAAATTATTTAGTTAGTCTTTTTACTTGGTGTGACTTTAAGTATTCGTTCTCAAATGAAAAAAAAAATGTAAATTTTAGTCCATAGACCTTTTTTTTTTTTTTTTTTTAGTTGGTT